GTTAAATGATTACTGTAGTTTGAGCATCGATACATCAGTGTATAAAGACTAACACGATGCGAAATTCTATTTTTCTGCTTTTTGTATTTTTTGTCGACAAATGATCGCTTTTCCCAAAAACGACAATAGTGTTGGCGTTATTTGAAAAAGTTTTAAACTTTTTTTTAGAGTTTTTCGTGATCTCTGATTCATTTCTTTTGTCGTTTTTTTTTAATTGTTTTTTTTTCTGTAAAAAAAAAAAACCAAAAAAACAAAAAAACACACGTTTTTTTGTTTGAGTTCAGCAGCACGCGTTGTCTTTTTCGGTCAGTTCTAACCGCCTGTCGCTGACAAGTCGGATCTTGATAGCTCTAGAAGAATGTTCCCCGACTTTTCTTTTCAATTTGAAATCAGAATCTTGAGGGTGTGACTCGTAACAACACCCGTTTAATAGTTTCATTTTTAAGACTACGGTAATTTTTTGAATGCTGGACTATCATTTTTCGCTTCTCATTGATGTGAATATGTCATTTCATTTGTTCGCATCACTTATGGTAGTGTACTTTGAATGATGTTCTGTTGAGAGTGGTTTCTCTTCTAACTCATTCCCTCTTTAAACTTCCAGGACATCCTGCCGAATCCAGCGAAAACAATCTGACAGAGGCCAACACAGATGATGTTTTAAGTGCGAAACAAGGTTCTCCAAATCTACTCCAAGAGCAGCCAAGACTTCTTCCAGTATGTGCAAACCTGTCCAGCCCACCCCACCCTTACTATGGCTATGTACAGCGCGCCCCCCGGATGCGGAATTTTAGTCCTGGTGCCCCACCCAACGTCACGGTTGGTCCCCATGGATTTCACAGAGTGATGGTGCCAGAGCAGACAAACTGGTTCCTGAGTTACTCCTCCCTGGATTCTCCAAACTTCTCTTCACCTTTGCTTCAGGTAACATTCTTTGTTTGTGTTTTCAATTGAATGTCGTAAAACCAAAACCAAAACTAAAACCAAAAAAAAGTATTTGCCTGACTTTCGACACTCAGAAAGGGAGGGAGCTCAGTATGGTAAAGAAACATACCTTAAACGTAAAAAACTTTCCAGATAAATAGCCAAGATTTCCACCAAACACACACAACCTGAAAAAGCACATGACACCCAAAATAAGAAGCAAATATCAGAAGCCCTCGTTTCAACGTATACAAATGTATACCTTAAAAATTCTGTCGGTAAAACCAAAATCCCTGGCCGACCCTGTATTTTTTAAATTCATTACCAATCAGCTTTTACTGGGTGAAATTAGACTGAAATTCATAAAGAGACTCAGATTCGTTCCACACTACGCCGGAGGAATTTGAATACGGAGATTTCACTCTGAAAACGAGCATGTTTTCCGTCCACACGTGTTTGAGGAAAACTCGGTCAGGGAAATCATTTATTTAAATATAGTGACAGCATCGTTTTCGAAAAGCTCCGTTTTCAAAATGTTTGCCTTGGATTTTGGATCGTGAAACTTGCAAATCCAAACAGGACCGAATTTGAGGTTAATTTGGTGAAATGAGGAAAAACTCTCTCGTCGGATTTCAAAAAATATTGCCACTGTTTTTTTTTTGAGAATCAGGTTTTAAAAACATGTTGAATCACTTCCACAAAAAATAACCAAAACATAGATACATTTTAGTACCCAATTTTAGTTCCCAAATCTTTCTTTGTATCAGACCGGGAAAACAAAAGCATTAATTAAAACCTCCATTCGTGCACGCAATCCCTTTGCTTGCGTGATTTTTTATTCAACTCTCGAAAATATTCGGTGAGTAAACATTGGTAAAGAGGAGAAGCCGTTTCTTACTTTCTACACATTAAGTTGAACTGATTAGATGACTAAATTACTCCGCACAATGGCGAAGAAATAAATTTATTCGTACTTGTATATGCAAACGGTTCTTATGACAATTTTGGAAGCCATCTTGAAGGGTGGGCAACACGCCTCTTTGTATAGGTTACAGTGTTTTGCACTGAAATCGGATGGCAAACAATTTTCTTAAAGATTAAATTCTGAACAATTTACGAATAGCAAAGTTGGTTCACTAGGTAAAAGATTGTATTAACCATATTTGAGGGATGTATTAAAGTGTGCTCCAAAGCGTCCAGTGGTGTTTATAATTTTCTGTACATTTGTCTGTAATTATTTCCGCGAACTTGTAATTTCTAAAGCCACGTCAAATTGATAGAAAATGTAGTGAAAATTAAAAACACGACTGGACGATTTTGAGCGCAGCTACATCCCTCAAATTTGCCATTTATCTTAATATGCTGTTCATAAATTGTTCAGAATTCAGTCTTGAAGAAAATCGTTTGCCGTCTTATTCCCATACAACACTAATTTCTAACGCGTGCTGCATACCAAGAGAGCTTCCAAAACCGTGATAAGGGCAATTATCGCCTTCTTTTGTGTTCCTTATTAAAGAACTTTAGGTTTGAGTGTAAAGCGGAAGTTTTCTTTTGATAAATAAAATCAAAGAAACTCACCTTGTTTCAGCAAAAAGACAACGAAAACAGCGAAAGGCGCTTTGAATGTCCTGCGAAAGCCGGCACAGATTTCCCGCCTTTTATTACGCTTTTTCCCGCCTGAATTACAACGAATCACGTGCTTAGCTAAATCCAGGGACCAGTAGGTAAACGGATTCCTCTGCTGTGAGCCGAAAACGAGCCCCCGTTTTCAGTTTTAAAATATTATTTAGAAATTATTCGGGAAGTTAGTATTCGCGAATGCCAGTTTTTGAAAAGGATTTTCTTTTGACGAAATGTAACGGGGTATCGCCCGCACCCCTTCTCTCTAGATCTATTACTGATTGCAAACTAATAGAGTTACTGTGATTTACTGCTGTCATTTCTTCGTAGGAGTTTTGCTATCCATTCATTACCGTTGAACCTGAGTGGCCTTCAATGTTCTCCGGAACCTTTCTGGAAAACAACCATTGACCACTGTGTTGGATGAAAGTGCAAGTACCTTTGTAAAGTGTCTTTTCCTTCACTTATGGTTTGAACAGGAGGATTAAGGAGTGGAGTTTGGACTTCCCACAAAACTAACCCTGTGTGGTTATTTTGTTGTACGGGTTTTTCTGCGTGTACCGTTTAGCATTAACTCACGAAATAATAGAAATATTTACTCAACCTTGTTCCTAAGTTAACCGCATACATTTGCTATGTATGATAGAAGGCAACGTTGTTACAAAGAAACATGTATTCGTCCATATCTCACTTCACTTAGGGGTGAACTATATGAATTTTGGGGGATAGCTGATTTTGAAAAAATGTCCTATGGGCATACTTGTACCAAAATGAAAATCATACACACGACCACTATCGAAAAAAAAAAAACAGACTCACAAACGTTCAGTGAGCCGAACAAAAAATGTTATACGGATAAAAAATGTCATGCGTTCCGCGGCACGCGTCCCGAGAAAAAAAAATTCCCTAGTGCATGAAAGAGCCCAAAACAATTCGTCCCTGTACCAAATCACCCACCAAACTCCTCCCCCACCCTCAAAAGTCCATCCCTTACCAGAAGTGATGAAGTGTCGAATTCATTACAGTGTCTAACAATAAAGTAACTAAGCACTGCAAAACTCTGGAACGTGATTTAGGATTGGACGATACAGTTGTAACCTAACAAATGTTTGAAATATTAAACATTATGAAGTAACTAAACTTCTTGATGTGCTGGCGATCTTTGTTGGCCTCGTCAAGGTCGTTCAAATCTTGAATGTAGAAAATCGCCTCATAAAAGGCAAAACAGAAAGCAAGAAAGAGAATGCAGGATGTATTTATCGAACCAAGTTTGTATATAAATGAAAACTGGAGCACTCATAACCCACCCCATACAAACGTCACAGCTACTAAATGGTCCTAAGAGGGTACACAACACACAACACGCAGCAAAACTACAGCTTTCTGTTCGTACGAAAAGGTTTTTAAATGCCATTAACACCGACTTCGAACTTTAAATCAACAACTTGTCCGCTACAGTCCACTCGAAAGTCCGCAATATTGTAGAACAATCGAGAGACATGGATATGACGTCATTTGCCCCTGAAGAATTGTTTTTGGGGGCCAAATTGGTGTCCATAGAAAGATACATACACGAACTCGAATTTTTCCGCCTTACCCGATTAGAACTGCGTTCTCTCGAACGCAAAAAGTTTTATTCCCATCAATTGGTATTCCGTCATAAAATTATGGCCTCTGGTACAAAATGGAGGAGACTGGCTTCAAATCAGATCAAACGGAATGGGCTGGGTGTCGGTCCAGGATTGGTTGTTTAACAAGAGCAATAAGGTTTGGGTTTTGTGACTTTTGTCCACGGCATGGTATTGACCCAGTGTTGAGTGAAGACCCAGGTGTCGGGGATAAGATAGGGAAGAATGAACGGTGTACGGGAAAGAGTCAGGAAATTCGCACTTTTACTAGCGATTCACCGAAAACAAACATAAACAAGCTAATATACAGAACAGGAAACCAAAACGAAATATGAATCAAGCAAGCAATGATGACCGAAAAATAACGAAACTTACAAGCTTTGTCTGGCGACTGCGACGAGTAAAACATGACAACGGACATCAAAAACTGACGGCAGAAGAAGCTATACTTAACAATAGAGAAAACAGATGAAAAAATGTACACGAAAATATGAAACGTTGCGTAACTGAAAATAATTGGCGAAACTAAGTATCATATGCACGGAACAACTAAAAGACGGAAAACAAAGGCCTAAAACGCGAAAGCACAACAAAATTGAGACTCCGTGGCTACAAACTCAACTGGGAAATCATGAGTGGCGCATAAAGGAAACGTACATGGAAATGCAAGAGAAATAGAAAGCGGACAGCTGGGAGAACGCATGGGAGAGTGCACAAGGAAACATATGGTATGTGAACGCAAGAGGTCGAGTTTTACCTATGCTGGGTTCAAATTAGTTTCAGTCCCCTCCCTAACAACAAACTCGCCTCTCTGTTGTGGCAAGAAAAATGCCCATTAAAAACATTTATCGTAATTAAATCGCAAATAAAAACCTCCAAAAGGTTTACTGCGTGTTTCTCACAACAGAAATAGCCACTAAATACTGCAAAGAAAACATCAGAAAGAACCAATGTCTCTCAATAACAGTATAATATTTGTAATATCGATATCGCAATTTTACAAACTCTTTTTATAGCACTTAAACTCTAAAAAAACTGTAACGTGAAAATCACTTCTAGACTAACCTATTTAATCGAAATGAATACTTTTATCTTGAATTGAGTATTTTAAATCAGAGCGAACTGACCCAAACAGAAACCAATGTAACAAAACTAACGTAGCACATTCTGAACTCTAAACACTGACGGAGCTAACACTTAGCAAATACCACTTACACATGCAAAAGACGGACATGTGTTTGAAGACATCACAAGGGTTTGAAGTTGACAACAAACGTATTGCTAGAATTAGCCTTAATAAATAACTTATAGGCAACCGAGACACAACCCTCACTAGCCTAAAACATTTTTGGTGCCAGGTACAGCCCAAATGTACACTTTCTCCTGGACTCTTTTTGGCAGAAAGTACATCTATTGATAGCAAGATTCCTACTATTAACTACACTGGACCAAAACTTTAACAAAACATTGTAACAAATTACTAACAAATATCACTTCTCTGTTACATGTAATAGTTGACTATATTGTAATCTTCGAAGGTCTGAGTTGAAGTGATTTGCTTTCCCTTTTTCTAACCTTTCAAAATACTTGCTTATAATAATTATCTGACTGTTCCGCAAGTCAGTTTACGTAAATTTGTTCTACACGTCCGAAATATCTCCAATGTGCGGCAGAATATACCTTATCGATCCCGGGTGGCGTAGCACAATATTCACCACAAGACTTGCCCATAATCTCTAATTTCGACCTTATGCTAAAATGATACACTGTACATTTGAAACTTTCTAGCAGAAACCTTTTTGAGTGGGTAGTACAGGTAAACATGATTGTCGCTTTCAAAAAAGCCATCTAAATCTCTATCGCCACAAAGAGACTTCCAACTAAATAGCCATCAGAAGAAAGACGTTAAGAGATTTCTTAAAATTCTACATTAACTAAAAAAGAAGAAAAAAAATGACGTCCAATAACGAGCTGGACGATTGTCAAAACGTTTACTGGAATAGCAAAAATTGCATATTTCCATTTTTACTATCTGCAGGTCTGTTAAAACAAGGACTCCTTACTCTCATAATATCATTAATAATTATTCTCTTTCCGCTCCATTGACAGCAGCGGGCTGTGTCGTGGGTGCAGGGGGCTTCAAATCAAAAACCCGCCTTGCATTTTCTGCTGACGCACGGGCCACCTCTTCCGCATCAACACCGAGACATTTTGCGACAGTGTGAGCTACTATTGGCAGAGTACACGGCTCATTTCGTCCAGGCTGGCATCTCTTTAGAAGGGACTTGCAAACATCATCTAAGTCCTTTTCCGGCGCATTTGGGATCATGTAAGGTGCATCACTTTCAAGAAGAACTCTGTCCAATGGAAGAACACCCTCTTTGAGAGCATCTCTCAGTGCTTTGCCAGGGGTTTCTAGAGAAAACATAAATTCCCAACGGTTGTAAGATCATGCTTGACAGTGAACCTGTTTCCTTCCTAAAAATACTTCGAGGCTTTTTTTTCTTTTTCAATTCACTTCAGCGTTTGACTAAGTCAGGCTTCTACGACTAGGAGTGATTTATATCCAAAAAGAACTTCAAAATTTAAAGTTTGATCTGTGTTTGTAGCAAATTGCATCACATTACCACGTAACGTCTCTTATTGTTTGGCTAGCTCCGTGAGCAGGCAAGATAAACCAAATCATGCCATGTGATTGGCTACCTGACTGGGCAGGTACTATCTCGCCTGCTCGGGACTACCTGCTGTGTCCCGCAAAAACATTTTCCGTGGGTTTATTGACCTTGTTTGTTTAACTCCGTCTTGGTCCAAGAACACCCCCAAAAGAAAAAACGAACTTGGCCAATATCTAGCCATCTTGACCTCATGCTTGGTCAACAGAAGGCATATATATCTTTTCTTTATCACCCTTTATACAAATGACAGCCTTTTTTGACATTATTGATCACCATTTAAGAAATAGAAAACAGAAACACGAGTGGAAGTTTGGGAGAACAAGAAATGCTGTGGGAACACCAGCCGCAGGCGAGTTTTTCCACAGCTTTTTCGAGTTCTCCCAAACTTTCACGAGTGTTTCTACAACGCGATAGAAACACGGAGAACATGTTTTCTATTTCTTTTAGAAAGCACCGCGACGAAAAAAAAGGAAAACAACTTGTTTACTTTGATCATCAAAATGTAAATTCTCTTTGCACGCGCCATCATTACGTCAACAGCTCGTGCTAGTTCTGTGTTTCTATCGAGTTAAAGGAACACGATTTTTAACCAATCAGCACGCATATTTTCTTAGGGCTGTTTTCTAAATAATGACAAACGTTGCTCCACTAACCTTTGCAAATAAATCCACAAATGCCAATATAGAATCCCATTGCAACATAGGCACTCATTTCTGAAACACTACCAGTGAAACAGTGAATCACGATAGATGGTAATCTGCCACTAAACTGACTCAACACTTCAATGAATTTCTGATGTGATGCTCGCTCATGTGCTAAGAGTGGTTTCTGAACTTCACAGGCAATCTCGACCTAACAAGAAAACAGAGCAAATTCCAAGGTCAACAGAGATATTCTCCTCACCACCTGTCAACATTTTGCATGATTCACTTGGGAGAATTAGGATTAACACAGGACTAAGAAAGTGCACAGTCAGGTCAGGTTACAACATTACTATATACGACTTCTATTTAAAAAAAGTTGTGACCAAGCATCGTTACCACATATGACATTGACAGTCACTGCATGGCATCCTGTTAAATACACCAATAACATACAACTCAGTACCACATAGGTGTGCAGCCTGGGAATATTTGGGAATTTCTTGGCCAGCTTGTAATAAAAATCTCTTGATTTTTGAAAACCTCACTGTCCTGCCTTTAACCCTTTTTACGGAACAATGTGCCCTGTGTACTTTCCCTCAGTCAAGAGTAATTCAAAAAGACTGTGACCCCCCACCCCCCCCCCCCAACAAATGATGCATAATTTCTTGAGTAGCACTACTAGCAATAACTTTCACACTCCTCAAAGGGTTGATTGAAGAGGATTTTTGTCTGGTCCTGTAAGTATGCTGTATGACAAAATGTCAATGTCGACAGCTCACCAAATTTGTTTCATTGTTGTAGTAATCTTGCATGCACACCTCAAGGACTATATGTAAATATTAAGATTTACCCTGACTTGACTTGAAAGAAACTGTAACTGCTTTTGGTCTGTTTGATAAACACTGAAAGCTTTATTTAAACCAACGAAAATAGCTCAAATTAGGAGGAAGTACCTGTTTTGTGAATGCTTCAATCTGTGCCTTCTCGTCTGAGTAATTCCTGTGAAAATCCAAACCAACTTCACCAATGGCGACAACTACGGGATCCTTTGCTAATTCTTCAATCTCCTTGGCAGTTTTTTCATTCCATTCCTTTGTTGTAAAATGAGGATGTACACCCACAGATGCATACAGGACACGTGGATGAGCTTTAGCTTGAAGGACAGCTGACTGACTCATCTGTAATGTGTTTCCTGTTAGAATCATCTGCTTGATTCCTACAACTTCAGCCTGCTCTATAACATTTCGAATATCTCTGGAAAATCTAAAAGGGAAGAACAAAGACCAATCCAACATGAAAACCAGTACAATTAAGGAAAATACTCTCAAATTTACTTGGAATTAACCAGTAACAGTAGGCACTACACACACTGGCTGCATTCACCTAGAAAGGCATATAACGCATAAAAGTGAAGCCTTGGACCCAACTGGCTCATAGCTTTTGCAGCTTATTCAGGTGGCTAGGAGTATTTCTACTACCCCTGGACGGGATGCTAGTCCATCGCAGGTCACTCCCCCACAATTTGTTAGGTTTCCCCAGAATTCACCAGTACCCATTTATACTCCTGGGTGGAGAGAGAGACTGTCAGAGTTAAGTACCATGCCCAAGAACACAACACAGTGTCCCTGGCCAGGGCTCGAACCCAGACCGCTCGAGCTGGGGACGAGCACACTAACCATGAGGCCACTGCACCTCCACCATATATTACACATACACTCCATCAAAATTACAGTAAGAGCATCAGGTTCAATTAGGTTCAAAATCGTTGAGAGAAAGTTTCTAACAGTTCACACCTTGACAGCTTATATAAGGAAAAAGTAAATTTTGTTTGTTTTATGCATCCCACATTTACAGTACCTAGACTCATAATTTATATATCCCACTCTGTTGTGTGCATCTTCTAGACATGAAAATGTAAAGTTGCTGTTCGGCCATTATATTTACCTCTGGTATATATAAAATCTTAGCAAATACAGCCATTATTATAATGCACTACACTCTTTATGACAGGCACAGTGGCCAAATGGTTAGTGCCCTTAAATATGGATTTACATGTAGCAGTTAGGGTTTGAGCCTCTCTCCCCACAGGTGAATAAATGAGTACCAGCAAATTCTGGGGTAATTTAGCGAAGGACTGGCTTCCTATCAAGGGGTGTAAAACTATTTCATTTCACTTCCTGATATGGAAACCGTAGATACCTCCCAGCCTGATGGGCCACTAGGCTTGAAAGCAGACTTGTCGAAACTTACACTTTATTTGGTAGATTAACCCCCACATCAATGAGCTGCAACACTTTATCATCAGGAACTGTCACAATGTCATTAGGGCCTTGAGGGCGTCGCCTGTTCCTCCAACCCTTTTGGTTATAATTATACTGGTTTGAACCATAAGCATAATTGCTCATCTGTGGAATTGGCATGACATAAGATGGAGGAATCATTGATGGAATAGACACTCTGCCACTGCGGCCTCCTCCTGAGTTTTTGGCTGGTTCAACTTTTATGATTTTATCATAGAGTTTAGTTCCATTTAATTGAAGCAATTGACCTAGATTGAAGAAAAAAGTTCTGTTACAATAGTTCTATAACACTTGTTTACCACGTTGACAGTTACAAAAATGCGTATCAATCCAGCTCTTGAACTTTCCAATGTTATCAAGATTGGCTAAAAGTTAACTCTAACTGAAGGCACTTTACACTTGAATTCACCTCTAACCCCTGTAGCCAAAAGGTGATTTCTGCTAACCTTGAGCTTGGAGCACCATTAGAAATTCCAAGCCATTTTTTTTTTGATATAACAAGCAGAAGTCCTCCTAGAGTTTCTCTAAAATGTACCTGCAAGATGTTCTGGAACATTAATAAAACCAAACCCTTGTGAGGCACCAGGCCGGTCCACGGCCAATTCAATCCATGACGATGATCGCAGGTATGGAGTGCTATCAAGGCCAAAGTGGCGAGCCAAGTCCTCTTTTGTTGCTTTAAGGGAGAGATTTCCTGCACAACAAGGCATACCAAAATAATCAGTTAAAACTGCAGGCCCCAAGTAGGGCTGTAAAGTCTTTTTGCAGGGACTCAATGTCCGGGGTAAGTACTCCTGTATATAAGCCATATAGGTATATGCCGCTACAAAGGGTATGGTTTTCAGGCAGTTCACAGGGGTTTCGAAATGTTTTGAAGTAGACGTTTGCAGCTGGAAGAGTAGGCGGCTGTGACAAGTTAGGGGCCACAACGCCCCTTGTCCTTGGGGTCTGAGGGCATGCCCCCTCCCCGCAAAAAATAATGTGAAACATCACATTGGTTGAAGGTTTCAAATTTCACATTACTCATTGTTTTGTAAGTATGCAAATTTTTTTATCTTTTCAAACCTAAAATTATTTCCAAATGAAAGGTCGTTCTTGCCATTTTTCTCTTATTCTTTATTTATTGTTATCAATTAAAAAAAGGCCAGGATAGTTTCATTTAAAATTCCGGTTTTAAATGTGGTAACTGTGAAACAGCACAGTCATGTTTCAAAAGCAGGTTTAGATTTTGCTTTGCTTCCACATGTGCAAATTATCTCCCCAGAATTTGATGGCCGGAGGAAAAAATAGTTGAACTTAAGAGCTCAAATTGTTGCTATCAATTAGCAACACAATTTTAGATTCCAGTATTCATGCTAGTTAAAGTAAAGACTTTTCATTTTGTCTTTTAATATCATTTATAGTGGGCTGTGATCTCCCACCTTATCTGTTATAATATAAAACAAAGTAATCATATGGTCGAATGAACAATAACAAAGTCCAACAACTCATAAAATGATTTCTTGTGTGTATTGGCCAAATTTTTCATCTACCTACCAAGCTTGACTTTTTGAAGCCAAAAGAAAAAAATCAGTTTTTTGCGATCGTTTTGCTGCCATGATGTTAGAAGCAACAGCCAAATGAGGTAACCCAGAACTTCCAACTCTCACGATTTGGTCGTTAGACTCACGATTTCAGGACTCATCTCATGGTTTCACAATTTAACCTCAAAATCTCACGGTTTTCCAGAATGAATTACAACCTCAATCAGATCTGGACTAAAATCAACTCGATTTAAAATAATAGTTGCAAATACAAATCAACTCGCTTAAGGATTGAATATTAAAATGTTTGCGTTTCTTCTCACTGGGGAATCTGGACCAAGCTATTTTCAAACCTTGTTCTAATATCCAATCACAGCACCAACTCTCCTTGAAAACGCGTTGTTTCATGTGTTCAAGGTGGCAGAACGAGATGTCAAAGACTCTCCTGTCGGTGTTTCATGTCCTAAGGTGTTAATTAATGCTAAACTGGCACTAATTATGGCAGTTTGAACCCTGCTAGGCATTACTAGCATTAACATTCCTTTGTTTTAAAGCATTTTTGTAAATCTCACTAATTGGGGACCCAAATCTTGATACTTTTTGGGGTAAATTTTTGAGACCTCAAGATTTGGGGGTTTTAGACTTTGGAAGGTCTGCTAACCCAGCCACTTATTTAAAACTGGAAGATGAGATGGCTACAAAAACACGATAACGCGAAGGGCAGAAAATACAGTGGATGATCTGAGCTTTCTTTTTAACAAGCTTGCTTCCTAATATTGCATGAGAAATTATTACTGCAAAATTGAAATTACTCTGCCATCTTAAAGATCTATGCTATAACCTGAGTAACTGGCAATAATTATATAATCAAGTAGGCAGAGGAACTCTTGCGGCCACTGGCTTGTTTTGAAAACACTGAGTTTAGTCTACAATAGGGTGTAAAAATCAGACAGTTTTGGTCTAGATTAGGGTATAATTTACTGGGAAAGTGGGTCGTTTGTAAATAATTTAGTCCAGAACAAGGTTCTTTACCCTGGGTTCTATAGTTGAAACTGAAAGTCAGAAGCGACTTTGTAAGATATTGCTTTAGTTAGTGTATGTTGGACTATGATATTGATAAAGTTTCTGCATGGAAATTAGCGAGTCTGGGATAGGGTAGGGGTTTTTGGTGCCTAGTCTAGATAGAATAGGCCATTTTACAGTTGTGTGTGTTGTTGAGGCTGGAGGTGACCTTGCTTTGATACAGGCCTCTCTGCTTTTCTCATGTAAATGCCAACTAGTTAGCATAAGAACAACTTGATTTACACAACAAAAACAGTGAGGTCTTGATCAAAACAAGGTCACCTCCAGCCTCGCTGCCATTCAAAGGCCAGGTCACTGAGCAGACAACTGTAAAATGGTCTATAGAGTTACAAAATCAAGCTAACTATGGTCTAGAATTGGGCAAGTGTCAACAGAGAAATCAATCTCGATGGATTCCGTATGGCTCAGAATTGTTTATGGTTTCCCCTTAATTGGAATTTTCAATTGTGAACTTAACATTCACTAACGTCAGTAAAATCAGAATTGGGGAAAAGAACAGAAAATTAGTCCAATTAAAATACTTGTTATTTATTCTTATTTTACAGGTAGAATCATACTTTGCAATACTTCACACCCAATTGTTTTGTATTGAAGACATACATTGGCAGATAAAACCTCCATTGTGAGTCACCCTGGTGGGTTTTGAGTCGTCTCTGGCGATCTAACGACTGCCATATTGTAGCCCAGAAACTTGTTCAGTGGATAATGCTATCCACCTTTCCAATAATAATTATTGGACCCGTCCTTGTCTTGTAAAATGCCGAGTGCCCAAATCAGACAAGTAGGTCTCTTATGGAAGAAATAAACAGATGTTCTTTCATGGCGACTTCCGTTACCCAGAGGACCACTCTGGGTTCATAAAAGACCGCTACTGACTGATCAGAGATTTGAAAGGAGAAAAATTTCAATGCATGCACATGTATGGCAATGTTAGCGTAAATAGCAGCTTCAGATTTTACCGCGTGCACGGTTTCATGTACGACGTCCACCACAACTTCTTGTGCAATTCAAAGCCACGACTTCGCAAACTGTAGTTAGCCTTGCAGTTCATATTTTGATCTAAGTTTTTATCAGTGACATTTGACTCGAGTCAGCTGGGGCGAAGTGGTTTGTAGGATTACAACACTAAACGTGACAACTTCAATTCAAACGAAATATTGACAGCTTCGGCGCGGGGCGTCCAGAAGCTAAAATATGCCCAATAACGTCATGAGCAAATAACCAAAGCAGTTTGAAGCGGTGAAAAATCAACCAAAACAACATAAACAGCTGAGAATTAAGCTTACAAACGCTGGCTAAAAACAGATGTAAAAACATCTGAGTGTAAACTCGTGTTTTAAACCGGAGCTATGAACGTGCTTTAGACCAGTTTATCTTAACTATAAACGGAAATTGTTTCGACTTACCGATATAGAAGCGTCTATTCGCTGACATTCTTCTTAAGGACCTAAGCAAGGGTTGTGTAGGAAGCGAAAAGCTTGAAAAATGATATTCGTAAAGATGGGGTTCAAGTGTAAGCTCGTTCAGCCGAATCACATGTAGCACAACCTTAGAAGCTGGACAGGAAGTTGGCGGGAACATGACGTGACAAACTAGAGTCCAGGCTTAATCACATCTGTGGCGGGGAACGCCTGGCGAGGTTTGTGTTTCATTGCCTTTGAAGTACAACACAAACTTACCATTTCTGAGGTTTGAAAAGCTTCACTAAGTCATGCCTCTTATTCGACCCAGGCATGTGCTATCCTTTAGCAGCGAAGATGTGGTAAGATCGATATTTTCTACAGCTGATGTAAAATTGCTCGTTTACGTTTTCTACAAAACTTTCCAGGAAACGACGAATTTTTAAGAGCTTTCATTTCAAACTGCTCTTTAGGCTCAGCCAGCACAGAACCTGCTTAAATCAGAAACATATAGAAAATGGAGATGTGCGACTGCAGGAGAGAAACAGGCTTCGGTCATTTTAGAGGTGAGTGTTAATGGAGAAAAACTGTTGAATTTAATGGAAGAGTTAATTCCAAAAACGATATAAATGCCTCCCTCTTTTCCAACCGAAGCAAATCTCGGGGCATTTTGCTTTAAATACCTTTTGTTTGGGGAAGTTTCCTTTTGAAAATCCCTGAACAATCAAGTCTTGCTAACATATTTGCAACTTAATGCATGATTAAAAGCTGTTTTCTTTTCATTATTCAGCTTGAGAAGGCAACACAGATACACTCCATTGATATAGGTAGGTACAAATATTTTTAAATGGACATTATTAAAAACTGTATCACTAGATAATGCAATTCAAGAGGTTTCATTGGCTTACTAGCGGTTAGCCATCATGGTATACCATGCTCTACAATTAATTATGGTAAGCACACAGTACACATATTTTTTTTTGTTTGTTTTTTTTTTTTGGGTTTGGGGGGCATTTTTAATAAAACAATTGCTCCACTTGCACTTGCTGGATGTGAGATGATGATTTATAGCCAACTTGGTGCTAGTCATGCCTTGTTGGCTATCTATCTAACACCAGCTATCTATCATCTTGTATCCACCATGTCCTTGTAGAGTAATATTGTTAACTATACATGACTGCTATTAAGTAGCACAATAAAATTTCAAGTTGGGATGTAGTGACGTACATGTAGTTTGTGTGAGGATGCTGTCAGAAAGTGGTAAAATGAAGAACTGTTTTGTTACCATCTCATGTAGGCTGCTGGAATATGCAGGACTTATGAAGAGTAGAATAGAATGAGTGCAGCTTAACAAAGATTCAAATCTAAAACAATTGAAACCTTGGAAATCATCAAGTTTACTTCCTGGACCTTAAAAAACTCTCTTAAAAGTAGAGCTCTGCTGATTTAATCACAGGATGTATCAAATGTGCCAAATTTTCTGCCCAAACTGCCAAAAATTGGCCAATACAAGTATGATAAATGTACTTTGAGTCCTTTCCTTTGTATCTGGGAGATGTGGTGACTCATACAGGAGACTGGGAGCTTTAGTCTGTGTCCTGGAGTCTCCCAGATAATTGAGGAGAGTTGTTACTCAATGCAAAAACCTAGTTTGAACTAAATTAAATTACAATACTGGTAAATAAGAATGACATATAAAATACTGCTCAAAGCAAAATATTATTGTAATTTTCTCTTTTAATAATAGCTGGTTCAGAAGCCAAGGTTCTGATGAAAGGGTCAAACTGAATTTTGCCAATTATTTTTGCAGGCAACAATGGTTCTGCACTTGTAGAAGTGTTAGTTGGCAGGTCTTCATGGAGCTCTAATGAACAATTTCAGGTGGGAATCAATTTATTGGTCGTCAAGATTTGAGATTAAGTACAGTTTTGTTTTCTATATCTGATATGAGGCAGGGTGTGAAAACATTAGATTGCCATTTTGACAAGCAGCCCTCAAATTTTGCTTGCCCTGGGCAAGTCTTCATTTATAACTGTATGTTTCTTATTAATAAATTTAGTTGGCAGATGACTTGGCTGGGAACCAGTGAGAATGGAAGTTACTTACAGGGTTTGACAGGAAAATCTACCGGTTCTGGATGACCAGATGACACTAGTTTTAAGCTCCATGAGGCATAAACAATGCAAATTAGCTACTTTGTTTCTTTTGTTTCTTTATTTGTTTGCTAATACAAAGCAGACTCTCATGAAACTTATGGAGGGCAGCATTAACAAAATGATGTTAGTTTCTAATACAGGTTTCAACAAAACACTGACCCCTTACTGGCCTCCTTACTGATCCCCCTACTGACCACCTATAAAATTAATGGGAAAAAGAAATAACAAAGCCCAAAACTATCAACGGTACCAGTTCAACTTTGTTAATAAATTGAGCTAACCTGAAATTTCCAAGATGGTGGACACGTTGCAGATTTCCAACTCTCTTTTTTCCTATTTGTAAGTGCAGGTTTTGTTTGCAGAAAGTTGAGCACAGAAAAAATTAGAAGTTGGAATATCATCAAGTATGGTATTCGTACCCATTAGAAAATTAAGCAATGAAAGCTTGTTGAGAGATGCTGCAGACAACTAAAAAGGCATTTTGTAACACTGTAAAGGAAACCCACAAGATACCATCGAGATGTTGCCGTTTCTGCTTCGAATGACAAAAGCGCTGAGTGATGCTTAAAGAATGACAAAGCAACTACTCCTGCTCGAAGTAGGAACCTTCGTCGCTAGTGACTGACGCACCAGCCGATTTCTTGTTGAATAATTTCAAAAACCTTTTTCGGCTTTTAGTGCTTTCTTTGCACTTGCAAAGGATATGAACTTTTGTGTTTCTTTTTCCACGACATGGACTACATGTATATAAAATAAGCTTAAATCTAAAAACACAGCACATTTGAAGCAGCTCTTTGATTGCAAAAAAAAAAATGTGACAATCATCCATCACGCCAATTTTTAATGGGAGTCTACTTCTTGTGACAACCTGTTGACAGCTATCAATTAGAGATAATTAATGGAAAGAAACATTTTTCATTTATGGCTTTGCTTGGAATCAATGTTTTTCCACAGGACTGTTTTTAAATACAATATATCAGTAAGCTCTATATGAAAAAGTCAATTGAAAACAATTTTTTTAAAAAAATGGTCAATTTTGGGATACACTGATACTTTACATTTTGGGTTTTACACAGGTAGAAATTAAACCCGGGACAAGGTAGTCTTCCCCCAGGCTAGGATTGATACATTTACACCATCAGTCACCCTACTGTGTATGTATTTTAAATATTTTTTGTCCCTATTTTCAGGTGCTTCTTGTTGCATCTTCTTTCATGAGCCCAGCTGAAAGTAAATCATTTACCAATATCAATAGAGTCAGGATGTTTGGTAAGCAAGAGCATTGTTTTATTTTTTTGAGTTAAAATTGTGTATGCTCAGGTTTGATACTGTGGACAGTCCCTCAATTAAAAATCATATTTTGCCTTTTGCAGGTGCTGATAAACTTTCCAAGCCCGTAGCAGCACAGAAGTGGGACCAAGTCAAGTTAATCTGTACACAGCCATTTAACAAGGTAAATAACTTAGTGCTTGGTTTGTGCATCCTTGGTCAAAATTAAGTAAATATTAGTAAGTATATTATTATCATTCATAAAAGGTAAAGTCTGCATAAATGCCAAGAAGATCATCAGGCCAGCGTTTATCTTTGGTTTTAGTAGCGTGAAGCAGCTAGATGTATTTCTACTTCCTTTGGATGGGATGCTGGTCCATTGCAGGGTTAAGTTATCTCCCTCAGTGCTAAATTAGCTACTACTGATTTATAAACCTGAGTTGAGTGAGGCACTGTGAGAGTAAAGTGTCTTGCCCAAGAACCCAACACGATGTCCCCAGCCAGGGTTTGAAACTAGACTACTCATTTCGGAGGTGAGGTCACTAACCATGGGTCCACTGCACCTCCACATTCCTGTGGTAAAAACTAATTTGGAGTTTAACTACAGTGTAAGCAGGTTAATACGGACACGAAAGGGACATGCAAATTATTTTCAGGGTGTCCATATTTAGCAGACACTCAGGATAAGCATTGTGAAAGGAAATATCAGCATACAATTTGAAAGTAACAGAACAGTGTTGTAATTGAACTAAAGCAACATTGTGCTTATGTTCTCGTGCCAGTTCAAAAAACAGAAAAATACTCATCATTTATTATATTCCTTGACTGAAACAAAGTCACATTTACTTGAAGAAAGATTTTGTTTTCCAACAGGGTACTAACAATAAATCACAAAATAATCATAATAAGTACTAATAAGTCTGTATACGAGCCAAGTGGCCCATCAAGCTGGACCTTATCCTGGTTTCAGTAGCATGAGGTGACTAGGAGTATTTCTACTCCCCCTGGATGGGATGCTAGTCCATCGCAGGGTTATCCTCAGCATTAAGTTCTTCAGTGCCCATTTATTCACCTGGGTGGAGAGAGGCACTGTGAGAGTAAAGTGTCTTGCCCAAGAACACAATGTAATGTCCCTGGTCATGGCTTGAACCTGGACCGCTCAATCCTGAGATGAGCGCAGGAAGCATGAGGTCACCACACCTACCACAAAATAATCAAGAAAGATGAAAATTTACAGCCTGTATTTGTCCAGTGTCCATAAATCAAAGTTAACTTTGTATGAGAGCATGTCACCTGGTTTTGAGAAGTGTCTGTTGTCTGTAATTTATTATGCAGTGTGCATATAATTTAAGCAGGTTCTAGTGAGAGAAAACATTTGCTGAGGTTTTCATTGCAACAAACAAAAGTGCCCATAATTAGTGGGTGTCCATAGTCAGCAGGGTTCCACTGTATGTTTGTATCGTCATTGATTATAATTTCACATAATTACGCGTGCATAATGTGACAAACGATAATTGCCTAATTACTGTATCACTGACCAATTGACACAGAAACAACTGTGATAAGACATTATCTGAAGACCATTGGGTAAATATTCTTTTGTATTTCTTTCTGTTATCTGAAGATCATAAATGGACATTTTTGTATTACTTTGCAGATTTCGAACTACATACTACATATTATATTGACTGATCATTGCTTCAATTATACACTATGCTTCTGCTACCAAACGGAATAAAGTTGTTTGAAACTGATAGCCTATTGAATATTGGTATACACCAATACAATGTTCTCTTACACAGATCATCAAGCACCAACAAACTAAAAAATGCAAAGGGTGAAATAAATACCTGTGCATTTTGAACTTGCCGACTCTGGATTGAGCGGTCCGGGTTCGAGCCCTGGCATGGAACATTGTGTTGTGTTCTTGGGCAAGACACTTTACTCTCACAGTGCCTCTCTCGACCCAGGTGTATAAATGGGTACAAGTGAATTAAATGATNGGGGGGGGGGGGGGGGGGGGGGGTAGAAATATTCCTAGTCGCTTCATGCTACAGAAACTGGGATAAGCTCTGGCCTGATGGGCCACTTGGCTTGTATGCAAACTTTACCCTTACCTTGATCAAAGTAAAGTGTGCATTGTTTGTCTCACAGAATGAACAGTATGGCTTGTCATTTATCAACCTCCATTCTCCTCCTGATGATACCAATGGTGACAATGCAGAGAAAGCTGTAGCAAGTCCTCCAGTCACAGTAAGTATAACAAAGTAGTCCTTTAGGTTTTCATTAAGGTTTTCAGTAGGAAGGCAATTGGTTTCCACAAGGGGTCAAATCTCTTTTTACTGGACTTATTTTTCTCGGGGGACTCCCATATGAAAGGTAGGGGATGCTCTTCGTAAAATGTGAGTTAAACCTCTAAAGGAGACCAGTCTGGGCGGGGCATACATACATACATAAACTTTACTAATGTGTCTTAACATCTAGCCGATGGAGAAAAAAAACCTTCTACTGATTGGGGACACTTAATATAATAATTATTAATCAAAACTATAACAAAATTCTCGAACATGATTGGCTATCAGCAGCCTGATTTGAGCATTAATTGGACAGTGTACGCGTCATGCTTGTAATTGGACAATACATGTCATTTTGTGCGCGCTGTTGCGGTGCACTTTGTTGAGTAAACTGCTGTGTTTTTCAGCATTCATAATGATGTTTAATCGTTCAGCAATCAATCGATGGTTTGTTCGTTTCTCGCATTTTGTCGTAGCTTTTGAATAAATGGTAACAGGACATCGTGTCGTCCAATTCAGTCTGTAATCATGCTCGTGATTACCAAATCGGACTCGCGCTTTGCGGTCGTCCAATTTTGTTAATCGCTCGTATGATTACAGACTGAATTGGACTCCTCAGTCCTACTACCATTATTAGTAACCTACTAACTATTTTCTAATGAAGTATTAAAAAGCCTAACAATGTAATTAACAATATAATATAGTTAAAAAACCAGCAAACTGTTTTCTAATAACAATCAACTAATGAGATAAATTATTAAAAAGAATTAAGCGTTACAAAAGATGCAGTTGGAACAATTGCCATCTTCTACCATTACACTTAAAATCAAATTTACAGATACGATTTTTAAAACTAGTGATGGGAGGGTTTTAATTTCACTTGGTAACTTATTTCACAACTAATAATCAACAAGGCCGCTTTATCTCCAACATATGTAAAGCCAAAGTGTAATAAAAATAGCTGATGTTATAAATATTGTTTCTAAATAATAATTTCAGGCTTCAAAGAGACTTGGTCGCTTTATTTTAAAAGATGACAGTGACAGTGAAGAGAAAAAAAAGGTTTCGTCTGGAAGTCTATTTTTCAAGAAACTACAAAAGAAAGCTTCCCCGCCTCCCATGTCTACTGCAGCTGAAGTTAGAGCAGCATCGACAGCTACCACCTCATCAGATGACAGGAAGCCAAGTGTTGTCAGCAGTGTTCAAGACGTCAGACACCCAGTAGCTAAGGACGGACACTCGTTGAATAAAGACAGACACCCAGTGGCTAAAGACAGAGCAGAGAAAATTGGAGGAAGATCCTCTCCAAAACCAGATGAAAAACCTGTTCAGAGAAGAACTAGCGAGGTAAATTTTGTCAAGCAATCATATTTTCATGCAAAATTATTGTATCATCACGCAGGTTTTACAGGTAACAATCTTTAAAACGACAAAGATTGAACTACAGTGTGCAACTGACTCTTCAGCATAACGCAGTCACGTTAGAGATTGTTACAGTCTCATTTTATGAAATATCTTTTCAGAATTTCTTAGTTAAAAGGCATGCGAATTCTTTTTTCTTTACTGTCGTTCAGAGCGCAAAACGGAAATACGAAGATTCACCAAAGGAAAACAAGAACAGCAAATCGCCACCTCCAGCAAAAAAGAAACGGGGTAAGACTTCCCTAGAGATAAGAACTTATTCAAATTTGGATGAAGCAGAACAAAGGAAAGGATAGTGCTGCATTCCCTCAAAACATAACCTCTAAAAGATTGAAAGTCTATCATTGCTTCAGTTGACTGTTCACTGGAGGAAGGAGAATGGCGCGCGCGAGAATTTGTTCACACACCGTCCGACCGTCCACCTTTTAACAGTTCTATTTTGTGCGTGGCCAACGAGGGGCCTGGGCCAAGCATGTAGCGACCAATCATTCTTCTCTTAACTTTTCAATACAAGAAGACAAGAGATGAAATGAGAGATCTGATCATTTAAGGGCAAGCGTCTTAACTCAATGTCAATTCTCCTAGGATGGACGTGGATTTGGATTCTCATTCAGTTTATAAGAGAGCCGGTCCCTTTTGTGGGTTTGAGAACGCTGTTTTGAGTCTGCAATATATATGTTTTATTAAGATCAATACGTTTTACCATAAAATTCTAATAATGAGACTTGCGCTTGTTTTTGTTTTGAGAGTCTAATAATCAGTTTTGGTTTCATGAAGTGACTAGACGAATTGTGGAGGTTTTGCTCTCAGTCGAGTTTGCGCCCGCATTTTCAAGTTTGCAGCGAGATTGAGTTCACCTCCAGCATTCAGTCTTGTATATGCCTCCTGCTAAACAAGTTCGAGGTCTTTACTGTAAGTTACGGACCGATTTTTTCCCCTTCGATTTATGGCACAAGCGCCCGTAATGATTTCTATTCACGCGGACTTCAAATTTCTGACGCACTGAAAAAAGCAAAACGAGTCAATTTGAAATCGTTGTTAAGTCGTTAGCACGTTGTAATACAAAATTTAAAGTGAAAGAAAGTTTTAAACTTTTACTTGTTATAAAAGTTAAGAACACTTGGCGGTAAATCACGAAACATTTTGGCAACAAAAACAGCTTTAAATTTTAGCGGGCCGTACAGTAGAATACGGACCGCTAAATTGACCGATCAGAGCGCGCGTAGTAACTGAGAGATGTAAACACTGTTTTCACTCTCAACAGTAAAACCAAAGGTAGTCGGGGAAAGTCCAATTTTCTGGGATACTTCAGGCTGACATCAAGAGTATGCACCCAACTCGGTCGACCTCTCAAAAAAGTGAGGTGCGAACTCGGATGGTGCTAACTTAATTGGGGGCGAATCCTCCTGCTAGAATTGGTACAGCTGGTCTAATGGGATACTAGTTCATGACAAGGTATTCTTCAGCATTTTGCCACGTTGCTCATACAGTTTGCCAGCAATCAGTATCCTCCTGTGCGGAAATGGGCTCTGTGGTACGGCTAGTACCATGTAAAACAACACGGCTCAAAGCTGGAGTTCTTGATAAGGCGTGAAATGAGTTAAA